CTATCAGAATCCGCAAGCTATGGATATGGAGGAAATGAACCGAGGAATCCTACCAGGAACAGCGGACAATCCAATGCCATGGGCAATACCGAACAGTGTAAAAGCAGTTTAACGACCATCAAGACACCATAACGAGAAGACATGATTTTAACAACAGAAATTATTGTCATTCAAATTAGCTTTTTAGGATATTTAATAAGGTTTCATTTCATTTCATGTTGTGTATTTGTATATAAAATTTTGCAACAATATCTCGTTAACAAATCATGCATGTACATTGTACATAATAAAATGTGTTTTCTAATATTTGATCGGGGTTCAACGTCTCTGAAACAGTGGGGAGGGGGCGGGGGCGCATATGATAACGGGTGCCTGGGAAGACACGACAGGAAGAGAGAGGAGGAGATAGGAAAGAAAGAATAGAGGGTAGGAAAGATAGAAAAAGTAGTATGGTATCAGGGGCAGCAGATAATCTTTTGCGTCCCCTTAAGTAGGCCACAAAGAAGGAGGGCCCGATTCTGTGGATAGCGTCACAGCAAGTCCCTTACAACGTGAATTACACGTGTATCATACAAGAATAGGAATATAAACGTGACAAATAATTTCAAAGTGTAAACTATAATGGTTTATAACTACGTAAAAGTCGGGTATATTGTGTGTCTAAAGTACCCCTTTGTCGTTGGATTAAACGTTTATTTAGATTTATGAATTTAAAGGCCGCTAGCAAACCTATTTTGAGGATGTAGATAAAAAAGCCTTCTGACACAGAATCTTTATTTATTGATTATGGTAAATAGAGAATATCTAATTATTTTCTTCATCGCCAATGCGACATTTCCCCTCTTGATACACATCTCGGAAATTGTACAAAGAAAACTTTTAAATTGCTTGTATCACTCTTTTTCTGAAACGGGTGACGATTGTAAGTTACCTGTGTTCGGCCATTTCATTGGTGGACACCTGAGTATTGTAAAAAAAAATGTGCTCTCATATATTTGCTTATATTCATTTTGTAAATACCCTGCTGTGTTGTTCCCGCTTTAGAAATGTTTATGCTATTTCGTTTTTCTTGTATGTACTTGTATGACTGAGACTGTTGCTCCCAGATATCGTCACGCCATTGTGTTGTTGTCAATAAAAAGTGTACTTAAAGATTTTGTATTACCTGGATGCGTTATTTTTATTACATCTTTTTCTCATGATGATTTTGGTAGAGGTTTAGTTATTATAATCGGCAATGAATTCGGATGTGATTTTGAAGTACAAGTATTTTAGAAAAGGTCAGAGAAGATATTTATTCAACCCTATCAGCAAATTTATATTATCATAAAATTGTAAAGGTGTGATATTAATTGATATAAATAATTCTATAACCAGTATGATTTTTCGTCGGCTCGGAATGAATATCAAGCCTTATCAACACTCTAAATTAATATTTACGTTAAGAATCATACGGCAAATACTGGAATTCCTAAATGGATTGGATTTCTATATCAACTGATCAAGGAAGTATCGATACCGCGATAAGTTCATTTAGCAGTAAAGTAGAGAACAATGCTACTGACGTCACAGTGACCTGGTAAACTGTCAACTCATTTGTAACCTTTAACCTAGATATAAATGTAAGTACAATGCAAATAATTCAAATGACAAATTACCAAACAGTGGTTCAATACCGTCCCACGTGAACCTTTTTGATCAGTATATCATAAACATAATGTTTTATTATTAAAACTACGCGCATACAACTATATAAAGTAGATATTTTATACCAAGCTATACACAACCGACACTTCGGACACTTTGAAGGTGTAAATGGTATTTTATTTACGCTTCAAATAACCCTTTCACCACTGTAGACCATAATGGACTCATCCAGATCAAAGCATGGAAGAGTTTGTTAAAGATACAAAGGGGTGAAAGGGTTAAAAACATATATAACATGAAGTAGGAATCACCAAACAGCATTAAACAACAAACTCCGTCCTACTCCCAAACATCAGGCACATACCAAACAACCTTTTTAGGAAGAGAGTCGATTCTACGAATACAGTAAGGACTGTTTTTTTAGTTTAGTAACATGGTTGTTCTGATATGCGAATGAAACATGAACCGGTTTATGTCAATTATGTTGAAGTTAGACCGGCTGCAGCTCGCTCTAATAACGGTAATAATATTGTTACATATGTCTACAGCCGGTCATAAATGTGACTCGAACTTAACTTATGTATCCAGTCTAATCACGTATACATGTTTATGTAATAGATAATGACCGAAACCTGGGATTTCTTCTGAATACAACCCAGAGATTCTAACGCCCACATCTCTAGGTTGTATTCACAACAAAACCCAGGTTGAGATCATTATCTGACTTAAACCAGTGTGCTCTTTTGTTTAAATACATACCACTTATAAAATATGTGAAAGATGTTCATCCCTTTGTTTTCGCTTAATTATTTCATATAGATAATAACAGCTGCTATTCTTTTCCTTAAAAACTGTAAAATTACCGGTCCAATCACCATGGGCACAGAATAATTATTTTGGTATAAATGTATGAAACACTCGTAGCAGTTTGTAACCTAATTCAGAGGGAAATTATGGGTGAGATATCATATGCCTGATTCATCAGCCGTTAAAAGTGTGTCTCTACATTCCTGTCCCCTGGATCAAAACAACGTATTTACAATGTATTCAATTCCATTTGATGAAATCCTCTGGTCATTCATTCAAACACAATTTATTCAATTCGTTTCTCCCCCCCCCC